TATACGTGAATGGTATCAAGAGGTGTATCAACCGGAAAATCACCAGGGGTCTGTATGCGCTCTGGGGTTTGGGGGATTGGTGGTGGACTTTCAGCCTCAATAGGTTGCGGGGTTGTAGTGGTTGGCTTTTCACTATCAGAAGCTGAGGTAGCAGTGTCGTCACTATCCTCATCGGAGGTTTCGACTTCTATGAACTCTTTCGGGTAGGGATTTGTTGTGGACTTGGGAGATGCTTTAACCAAGTTAAGATCTCGCGTGATATGAACTTTTCGATCGATCAATACTTGGTACTGATTGGTTCCAGCATAGCCCACAAACACGCAAGGAACACTGTTTGGCTCCCACTTAGTCCTTAGTTCCTTGGGGACATGTTTGTATCCTTTCGCACCAAATGGAAACAGAGCTAATATCTTTGGTGTTTCGCCGGTAAATGCTTGCAATGGCATCATGCTTCGCTTCAGCGCACTTGTGGGACTTCGATTTTTCAGAAACACTGCGGTGTGAACCGCTTCTCCCCACATCTCATCCTTTAGACCCACTGCAAAGAGGATCGCTTTTGCTCTTCCGATGATGGTCCGGTTAGCCCTCTCAGAAACACCGTTTTGTTCTGGGCTGTACGCTGCTGTTTGTTCCCGAATTATGCCTGCATCATGCAATACCTGGGTGAACGAATTACTGGTATACTCCCCTCCCCCATCACTCCGGAATCTCTGAATCCGTTGATTCTGTTGATTCTCAACTTGAGCCTTAAACCGCTTAAAGCATGCAATAGCCTCTGACTTGTGTTTTATCGTATAGATCGTGGTAAATCGGGAATAGTCGTCAACGAAGATTAGAAAATACTTGGCTCCCCCGAGTGAGGTTGTAGCCATTGGTCCGGCAATGTCACTATGAATGAGTTGGAGCGGTCGGGTTGCACGGTGGGTAGCTGGATCGGAGTTTGGTTTTCGTGTCTGCTTTGCTAACTGACAGGGTTCGCAGGAAGGATTATCTGATGGTCCTTCGATTGACATACCGGGTATCGTTTTTGCTAACCGCTTGACATCCTCAAATCCTAGATGTCCCAGACGCTCATGCCAATCCATTAGTGTTCCAGAAACTTTTGGGGACTCTGCATGGTTTGCTGATATGAAGTTGGGCTCGTTCCTATTGTCAAACACTCTCGGTACTAATAGTACGTAGGAATTAGACTGCAGTCTAGCTACAGCTACCTCCTTTCCATCCATGAGGACTGTGACGTTGATCCTACCGGATCCTCCAAAAACTACGGTCGCTCCTGCTTTCTGGATACACCGTACGGATACCAAGTTGTTTGGGCCAAGTCCGGGGACATAGAGTACCTCACGTAAGTAGATAGGAGTTCGATGACCACTCGCGCTTTCGACCTCAATCTGAATTTTCCCAATTCCGGTAGCCTCGATCGTTCCTCCGTTTGCAATACTGATTGGTGCGCTATAGGATTTGAAGTCTCGAAATAGGGTTCTCTCTGCACACATATGATGTGTGGCACCGGAGTCAAGTATCCAAGTTCCTTCCTTTGAGGTTGCGGGTTCGGCTGCCCTGGCTGTCCATGCTCGAATCCCTTTTCCTTGTGCCTCTCTGGCTCCTTTCACTCCATCTTCTGCCTTTGCAGGGCAGTTTCTAGCCCAATGGCCTTTCTCATGACAATAAAGGCAACTATCCTTGTCCACTCTACCAGATAGATTTTTTCTTTCTCCCCTTCCTTGTCTTGGTCCAGTCCTAGACTGACTTGAGTTACCGAAAGGTCTGCCACGTCCACGTCCCCTTCCTTGTGTACTCCGTGTAGAGAAAAATGCTCCACTCGAACCCGCCGTTGCTGAGCCACCCAGTGGCTTTCCTTCCTCTCCCGTGAGTTGCTGATGTTCTAGAATTAGGCGATCGCAAACATCTTCGTAGGTAATATCGTCGAAGTTGGGGCTATTCGATATAGCTGTACGGAAGGGATGGTATTGGAGGGGAAGGTTGGACAGAAGAATGTATAGCTTATCCTTCTCATTCTGCTTCTCTCCTGCACCGGCAAGCTGATTGAAAAGCTTCTCCAGCTTTGCAATGTAGTCAACCATTGGCTCATCTTTGTACTTTACTTGGGAAACCTCACCACGTAAGTACCAAATCCTGGCTTGATCTTTACCCGCATATCGACCTTCAAGCTTGGTCCAAAGTTTGTGTGGGTCGCGTTCGGTGGCATAGAGTTCCCGATGATTGCTGTCTAACAGCC